ATTCTCGCTCTCACGTATGCGCGCGCTTCCTCTTCTTCATCGTTCTCCTTTCTTCCCTCCTTTTTTGGAACTTTTTATTAGCACCGTGTCTTTTGTGGATTTTAGTTCTTGAAAATATGCACGCACTCGCTTTCTTGCGCTCTCTCACACTCTGTCAATCTCCTCAGGAAGCTTCTGGCAATCAGCAACAATCGGACAAAATGTCCCAATATCTAACGTTCATCCCGATAATTATAGGAATCAAGAATGACTCGATAAACATACGATAAATCGCCTTCATCGCGATGTATCGTTAACAATAGAAAATACTGAACTAACTTCAAATAAATTTTAACTTTCGACAAATTCTCGTCAATTACAATCGTTATAAAAATAAACTGTGAATGTTTATAAAAAAAAAAAAAAAAAATAGAATCTAACTAAAAAAACTTGTTTCACTTACTAGATACTATATTCTATATTTTTCTTAGGATATTTTATAACATCTTTGTGTTTTAAGCACACTGCATTACCTATTTCCAAATTCATTAATAGTCGTACATGTATAAACATCCACAGTTTAGTTCCAGGTGCCAATTCTGATCATGTAGAAAGTTAAATTGTACAATATGTGCAATACACGAGTTTCTTATGTAGAATTGCAATTGTCGAATTACACTGTAACATAAAAACCAATGTTAATATCTATGTGATATATATATATATATATATATATGTGATAAAATAACTTAATTATTATTAGTTTTTATATCTTCTCGTGAGAACGACTCCAACATGGAAATTATATTCAAAAAGTATATCAATATCTGAGAGCCTCAAACGACATTCTTTTCCATAAACAAATACATTTGTTATATTCTCGAAGCTCGCATTCACTATGTTTCTAAAAAATAAAAGAAAACGTAAGAAATATAGAATTCTATGGATATTCTCTTCTAAAAAACGCTACTGTTATCTCTTTCGTCCAATGTAATCAGCAGGAACGGAAGCTGACACACGTATCGTTCACTTTTCTTGGAGATTATTCTTTCACGCTGTTCTCGCATCCTATGAATACCAAGTTATTCAAGCATCGTTTCAAAAAGAGAAAAATTTCAAAACGCAATGTCTGAGTCGCATGTATCCCTAACGACAATATAAACATACGAATATGCTCCAAACGAAAATCAGGTAACAAGATATATAATGGTGCATACACACATAGGTGAATTTATATTATACCACAGAATACTGTATTCAACTTCGAACATATTTTAACATTGCTTCAAATGGAACATGATGACATTTTTTATCATGATATAACGTGTGATTATAATTCACGAGTGAATACACGAACGCATATGTGGCCTAATGAATGTAACACGTATCTGAAAATAACTTTTTTCCACGAAGATCGTGTTCCAAGCATCCTATGGATTAACGACGTAATACAAAAGTACAAAATACATTTGTTCACACACCCACGCATGTTCTCCTCTTGGAAAAATGTCGAAACGTAAGCAATGTGATTTACACTTTGCTTCTTGTTTCAACTTCTTTCCCTTTATTTATTTAATTTTACGTCGGAACACGATCCAGAAAGCCTACCTCGGGTTAAAGAAAGATCATGACGATTCACGTCAGAAACTCAGCTTACAAGTACAATTCTTTTTAACGCGTTACGTACTCGTAATCCTTTTTAGTTTTCATTCGTTCTCTTTTTTTTTTTTTTCTTTTAAAAAAACTTCATTTAGAAGTAATTAGACGTACTCAGTCTTTCCGCAGTGCTCAATGTATTTTGAACGATTAACCATTGAGCAAACCAGTTAGAATTCGTCATCTTAAAAGGACGCGTATTTTTTTTAACCCCTAGTTATTCTTTTTCTTACACAGAAACTAAGGTCCTTTAAAATTTATTTAAATATTGCAAGAATATCTATCCGAGTGCTCAATAGAGATGAAGTTATTAATGTATAAAACGCTTCGATAAGGGGTTAAAAGTGTATAAAATAAAATTCACTAATGCAACTATGATACCGTTTGATACATCAACATGTTCCTCTAGTCGAATCAGTTTTCGACATCGGCCTTAATATGACGCTGATCAGGTCTGCAGGAAGTATTCAACATCAAGAACATTTTTGTTACATCACTTATAGCAACATTACTTCAATTTCAAGTATGCGAGGAAGTTCCTACGAAACACTGATTCTTTAAATTAGTCACATTCATGTAATCAAATATTGTTTGAATACTTACACATACACGCGCGCACACACACACCACGGCCGATACCGAAAACTGATTCATAGGAATATTAAACACTTCTATAAGCATGACGTATAAAATCCTTATTGGCTTATTGTTTGGCACCTATTATGTCGACAATTTCATCACATGAAATGAAAGTCACAATAGCATGCGACGAGTACCGTAGCAAGGTTTTGTTCGTTGAGAATATCCTTGTTGCTTATTCATCGATATCACGAAAAATTTGCTAATTTTTCTTTCCCATTATACCAGCCGATCTAACTCTTGTGTAGAAGAATCCTCTCTCAGCTACTCCGGTACAAGTACAAAATGACTCATGTTACAAATGATTACGAGCATTTTACGAAATCGCGTGAATTATTTACGAAGTACACACAATATTAAAGGCACCAGTTGCCATGTTAAACGGAATATCTCGATGACGCGTTTCTTTAAGGAAAAGAGAAAGTCAAAAAGTTCGTTTCTTTTCTTTTCCCCCTTTTGCTGAGTTCCAGGAACAAGTTTCTAACGAAATCGACGACACTAAGTAAACAGCCGTATAAAAATGGGCCATGGTACGTCACAGGCATCGCTTATGCTAATTTCTAATATGATCTCGATTCATTATGAACATTCTATAAAAAAAAAAAATGTATTCTAGTTGATTGGGCAAGTTACTTATAAAAAGAAACATTTACATAGTATATTATAATCGTAAAATTCGTTAACGTTTTCTCTACGACTATCATGAATATATCCATTAGATTTTAGCAAGATAATCAGGGGTACTTATAAACTTTAAGCGAATGATTTTGGTACCCTGAATAATTGCTAATAGTAGATGAAATTTATTCAAAGAAAATTTATCTTATTTATTTTTCAACTTAATGTGATGATTTAAATATCGGTCGTAATGAAATGAATTAAATTAAAGAAATCTAAATTTATTTAAATATTGTAACAAAGAAAAAGAAGTGGTAAGTTAATACTTTTAATTGCCTGTATATTGAATATTATTTTGAGAGTAACCAATTTTGCTTATTGAAATGTGCACTCACTTTGCGTGCAGTGTTTGTTGTATATGAGAATCTACGATCATTACAATATGAGAATAAGAGAACATTGATTATTTATTTATATTAGATTTTTAAATGTGCTTTTTCTCCCACGCTATTTCATACATAGAATGTATGCTCACTTGTTAGCGTTATCAAACAAATAAAAAAGATAATCTGTGTTCCTAACTGGGCAGAAAAAGATCACAAAATAAAAATCTAAATCAATGTGTCTCTTATTTTACTATAATTGGAAATATGAATGTAAAAGTATTTACTGACTTCATAAAGTATAACTTTCAAGGAAAGCTGAGAAAAAAAATGTTCAAAAGAATGTATACCTTCTAGAATGCTACATACTTATTGAGTGAATCACAATATAAAAATACAAATCGAAGATCTCCTCTTCCTGTCATTTAAGACTTCCTGTTTCTTCTCGTTTCCTTATCGTGCAACAATGTCCTTTACAAAATGCACTTTGTTAGAATAAGTAACTTCTCAAACGTTCCTTTGATAACTGACGAATGTTTCTCATTTTACCAACTCAATTGATAATCTCTCATTAATACACATTAGTATTAATAATATAGATTATCAATTGAATTGGTAAAATGACAAACATTCGTCAGTTATCTTCTAACGCCTCACGACGACTGCGTGTGTTTTTCCTTCAAATTATATAACACTAAATGCTTCTCCCTGACTTAGTCTCTCGAAACGACAATCAACGGCATGTGCAAAAGAGCTGTTAAATATTTCATGGTGAAAGTAACTATCTTTGAATGTGCGGATCACCTAGTATCACTGACAAATTCGACAGTCCATGTACATGCGTGACAGGAAAACTATTGGATCTTAACCACGCATGTACAAATAGCCACAAATCGCTATAATACCCCCACCAACAATTGCAGCACCTATGCCTATTGTAAGAGGTTTAAATAATGACCTCTTAAGCTTCTGCCATTCTTCAGTCTCTTTTTGACGACGCTTCATCTCCCGCACTTGTGCTGCCAAACGTTCTTTCTTTTCTTTATTACGATGACGTACTTCGTTTTTCCTGTTCGAATATATGAAGAAATAAATATGAAAAAAAGAAAATACTGAAACACTTAAATACAATTTTTAAAATAACTCACGTATCCGGACTGGACGGAGGACTAATTGTCTTTGAAGAGTTTTCACCGTCACTGATATTATCATTAGGCACCGCAACACCGTCGGAACTCTGTTCGTGTAAATTGTTTGTGATTACTGTAGAATTTGCAATAATCTGTGGACTGGTGGTAGATATTTCTGTGGAAACTGATGGCTCTCTAGGTAATGGTTTGTCAGGTGGTAATTCATCTAATATGAAATGAAAAAAAAAAAATTATATTTTAAAAATTAACTTTGACAATTACTAACTATTTATACATGCTTACCATTTCTTGTTATTGGATTTGAAGTTAAATCAGCCATCATACTACGTGTTAACGATTCACCTCTTGGAGGTGGCAAAGGAGGTGGTTCATCTTCCTCTCCATTTGGAGGATTATTAATGTTACTTACCACATCATAATGATTTGTTACTACTTCGTTATTAATATTCTGTAAATAACACAGAAGTTAGTGAAAGTCAAAAACTGTTGTGTAACACAGTAGCACAATATTATTAGATTATGTTAATTTACAATAAGAATAACACATTTCCACAAATATGTACATGAAACCAGCAACGAATAATAACATTGACGAAACTAATAACATTGTACCACTGTGAATTGGTATTAGTTACCACATTATTGGATGGCAATTGTTTTGCTCCTTCGATGATAGCAGCGTATGAAAATCTTAGTTGATCCGGTGTTTGAATTAAACCCATTCTGTGTCTTCTCATTTCTATTAATATCTCTCTAACATTCACGGAATTCAATCCATTTTCTTCAATCTACAATAAAAAGAGACAATTTTTCATCTCAAATTTTTAAATTCTCTTTAATATGCATAATGCTTACCAAAACAAGACAAGTATCAACTAAACAAAATGTCCCTGATCTCCCAATTCCTGCAGAACAATGTACTACAGGAGGCCCAACATTTTGATCTAATGCTCCTGATTGTCTAACATCTGTTAAGAACCTTAAAAAAGCTGTTGGACTTTGTGGAACTCCAAAGTCTGGCCAAGTAGTGTAATGGAAATGTAATATTTCTCTACTTTCTTTTGTTTCCAAATCAGTTAACCTACAAAACAAATATAACTTATGATTTTTTAAAATTAAACACATGGACAGTATTTGTAATACAATTCTTCATTCCCATACTTCAATATTCTAGTTGTATAATCTGATGATTCTGTTTTACTAATATATGTTACATTTATACCAACATCCGGAAACATCATAGTATTAATTGTTGAATCACCAAGAGGCCAATACTGATAGCACTTAACATGATTTTTTTCAATTATCTTATTTAACATTAACACAGCTTTAGAATTTTGCTCCCATACCATTAGCCAGAAATGGCCAGCAGTATTTTCTAATGGTCCTTGTGTAAGAATGTATTGTCTATGGGCACGATCTACCTATAATAAAAATAATCTTGTTATCTTGTTGTTCTTCTTGCTCGAAATTAAATATTTGTATATAATTTCTACCCGTATGAGATTAGCATTGATGTAATCACATGGCCCTCTTCTAAGGACAATCCTACTATGGTCATATGGCAAAACATCTCTATAACGGTTTAAATTTTTGTTTTGTGGCTTCTTTGACTCATTATATGTATATGTAAAATTACTGCATTCATTACGTATGTGCTGCAAGAGTAATGTTGTCTTATATCATATCGAGAAGAAAAAATACTTGAAGCTTTGTAAAAAAAGTTATGATAAAAAATACAAAATGTAAAAAGAACACAAAAAAGAAAAAGAAATAATTATTATATTATTAGCAAATAATTATTAGATCAGTTGAATAAACATATTATTACATTACGTATCAGCTTTGTATTAACAAAAATTAATTAACATTATAAAGTAAAACACAGCTACTAATTATGTATTTAATATTTTTATTATAACTTTTTGACAAAGTTTCAAATAACCTATATTTGTATAACATTTTTCTCTTCATTGTTCATACAATATATTTTTCCTTGATCAACTTGTTAAACTGTAGAAACTTTGTTTAGTAATTAAATCACTTTACTGGTAATTAAATCATTTTACTTATGAATACAAACTGTACTTCTAAACATACACCTGGCACGTATATTTAAAACTAAGAAATTCGACCTTGACAATAAAATCACAATACAGACTCTATGTAACGTTTAAGAATTTTCTCGTGAAAACGGCTTTCCAAGAAGATAAACCGATAGTCCCCGAGAATCGTGGAACAATCCGCGCATTGTAAATATCCGTGGAAAAGCAAGCCAGTTACAGGACAAAACAGATAATGAATGAATATAGTGGAACTTCTCTGTCATCATTGTATCGCATCGTTGTAAGTGAAAACAAATCGAATTCATTTGTTGAGGAGGATAAGTTGTTCTAGATTGACAAAAATCACGAAGAACAGACTGCGTACGATAAATAAACGAAAACCGATAACAAACACGTATGACACAGACTGATGCACAGGTTTCCTTGTTCATTCAGCAATGCGGAAGAAAGATCGTTAAAAATTGGTAAACGTACCACGAGATCTCGTGACAAATGATAACATGCCAGTATTATTATGATATTAGTCTCATCGTTTAGCAAACATCGTCGACCGAACGTCAAAACCGGATTTTATTGTATTTGCGATTTTATCGTTTCCGGATCGCGTCTTGAATGTTAGCAGGGAACAATTCCACGATGCCAAGAATCCACAAGGATCTCTTACAAGCACAATAACTTACCAACCAATAATATCAATAAATTGACAAGTTACACATTCTAGGTTATAAGCTCCTTTACATTTCGTAACTCTACCAAACAGGATGAGAGTTACGTCAAATAACTCTGGTAATTTTTATAAAATTAACTTACAAAATTTCATTTACTTCATAAACAAATTTATTCCTGTTGTGCAAGTGTGTTTATTAATACCAGTACCTTGTGATTCCGAAACTCAAAAAAAATTTCAACAATATATGGTGGTTGGAATTGTGCAAGACCCCAGACTGAAAATTGGATGCGGTAATGTAGAAAGGCTTTGTGCGTGACACATTCGCAGACAGGAACCGCCGTTTCTCGCTCGAACCGGAAGGAAAGACGCAAAAAACGGAAGAAGAAAGAGATGGAACGGGGCGCGATCTTTTTACCTGATAGAGAATCGGCCAGGCTCCCTTCGAGTTGATCTCAAGATACTCGGTTTCCACGTTACTGATCCCTTGGTCAAGTGTCTCCTGACTGGTCATTCTGTCGACTCGTTCGCGACTCGGTCTCTCCGGCGCTCGAAAACGGCAAAATGACACGAGGCACGCGAAGAGGCTGGGCCCTGGCCGCGCACGATCCTGTTCTCTCTGTCTCCAAGGAAAAAAGCGTCTTAGGCACGAAACGGTGCCATGCGTGACGCGGATTCTTGCGAAGGGTAGCCCCCGCACGGGAGACGAAAATGCGTAAGGCTTAACTCTCCGGCGCTGGTAGAAGTTACATACACCGTCACTCTCTAACGTTATTCAGTATATCACTCTGCAAGCTCAACCACCGCACCACCGATCGCCTTCACCGCCACTACTACCACCGCGATATACGACCCAATGTGCTGACATCTGAGGGAAACCGGCCAGTTTCTAGCCTCTCTTCTCCCTCTTCTTCCACTTATTTCTTCGTTGCCATCAAATGGGATGCGAGCAATGGTCGCCGCCATGTTACACTCGGCTGCTCATGTGCGCTGACACGTGCCAAATAAAAGTCCGCCTTTTTTAAAATTTGTTTATGGCAAATTACACGATATTGTACAATTATCTTATTTCTCTTCAAAGAAAATTATTAATTTTTTCTGCGAAGTCATAAAAGTATCATAAAGTATATTATAAAAATCAAGTACTAGATCTTTTAGAAATTCTCATCTCCTTGCAAAACATATGGGTCAAGGGTATCCTGTATCGGTAAATTCAAAATTATTTAATTTTCACTCGTAAATACGTTATTATTTATACTTTAATATTCACTTGTAAATATTTTTATGTATAGACAAGGTGAAAGAAGATGATAAATTTGAAAATTGTAAATGAATATTTTTTTCTAGATAAATAGTGTATTATTAATAGCACAACTAATATGTAATATTGACATTACAATTATATGTTGTATGATGTTTATTATCATTTTCGATTTCTTTTTTTTATAATTATATTTGGAATCTTTTTCCTGGTCGTTTCTGTGGACTTTACAAAATATATTTATACAAAATTTATCAAAATATAACATTAAAAATCATAAATAATTTTTCTAAATTATTCAAAAAGTATCCGAATTGAAAATAATCCACAATAATCCACAGGATAGAACGGTTAATTATATATGATAGGAAAAATTCATTGAAACAAAATAGATAAACGATATTGAATGTTAACATGTTAAAAATGTACTACTATCTTATTTTTAATACTAATGTTTAATACATTGCTATTTTATTTTTATCTTACGATTATAAATAAATGCAAGATACATGTATATCAAATTTAAGAGTATTATTATGAAGATATTTAAAATATTAATCTCTTTTACAAAATATGAAAATATAAAAAAACTTGTAATAAATACCTTTATAAATATCAATATTTACGAGAGACTTTACGAAAAAAAATTAAGTTTAATACTATGCTTACAAATTTGAACGAAACAATCTTTTTTTTTTCTTAGTTTTTAAGTTTAGTTTTTTAGTTTTCCTTTATAATTTTCGATGGTGTATTGTCATCTTTTCCAGTTTCGGTAGTTTTTCTCTTAGCTGACTCTGCAGACCCTTTCTTCAACCAAGAAGCCATAAAACTAGTAGAGTTGCTTTTTTTCTCTCCTCTGTACATAATGGAATTACTAAATCAATAGTCTGGCATGTCACTTCATAGGATTAAAAGTTCATAATTTCAACATCCAGCGGTTAATTGTACCATTCCATATACGTACACTGCCTTTGTCTTCTTTCTGCAATCTTCGTTTTTATATAATACATTATTTACACGAGTTGAGACTGTATGCCAATTTAAATCATTGTCTGATAACGTTAATTTGTTTAATTTGCCAATAGCTTCATTTATTGGTAGCTTTTCATCCAGCCAGAGCTATTATTAGAAGCACAAATATACTGAGATATTAATTGTTATAAAAACGTAAGCTATTTGTCAACAAAGCAATAAAATTATCTGTGTGTGGATATAGAAATTATTCTTTTCAATATTTACATAAACATCTTCATTTTCTTACCCTTAAATCTTGTTCTTTATTTATAAAAAGAGGTACTCGGTTATGCAACCAAGAGAGAACACTATTTGCCTCAGTAGTAATTATTGTACAACTATATATCATCTTATCCTAAAAACATGACTTATTGTACTTGTAGTTTTTTATTTAAATCCTATATAAATTTCACATGTTTACCTCTTTAGTTTTAAATTTATTAAAAATCCCTGCCATCTTTAAGACTTTAAATCCTTGCCACCCATCTTGCTCGGACCATTCGTCCTTCCATGTTGAAGGATCATCTGCTTTTACTCCTTTGCTCTGATTGGCATAAATGTAATATGGTTGTTTAGTATCTTTTTTAGTTTTCCCAGCTTTCCATTCATAGTATCCTTCACAAATAACTATGCATCTTTGCCCATTGCGCAATGGCGCGTTGTATAATTTGGAATTTTTAATGTTCTCCAAACGTGCATTATGCGTTGACAAACTGTGCTTTCTGTAATCTCCCTAGAAACAAAAATATTTTCAACTTCCTTTGCTATTTGTGTATTAATGAAAATATTGAAGAAAATAAGATTATTGTTATCTTAAGGGGATATAAAAAATATGTTTGCATTGGATTGCACGTTCTGTGTCAACACATTTGTTGTTACTTAAATGGTGACTGCGTGAATCCCATCCCCATCTGTGGAATAACCTAATCTTATTTATAAAACACAGACCTCATGCCAAGGTGGAATCATGCTCCACATCATAGCGCAAAGAACTCTTTCCTTCTCTTCGCCACAATGTGAACCAGCAACGATACACGGAAGAACATCTTTGGGACCAATATTGGTGGATGGAACATATTCGACGTCGCTTTTGGTCCATGATATCATTTGTCGTTTACCGGTTGCATCTTCGTATCCGCAAGCACGACACAAAGTCTCCGGATTCAGGGAACTAAATCATTTATAGATTTCTTTAATTCTTATTGTTTTGCGTGTCATGAATTAATTACTGGAATTATGTGACAAAATTACTTACCAAGCGGCTCGACCACACATGTTTTTCGCGCCACTGTCTTCAATTATATATAGTGCCATCTATTGCGCATTATATCTGGCGGGAATTTATGAATAATTAGAAACATGGATTGAATGAATATTTCCTATCACCTTCGATTTGGTTGAAACAATTTGAAAATAAGTTCATTTGATATAAAAACGTTAATTTGAGAAATATTTCTAGTAATTAACTCTTTATTTTAGAGTTAAGATTCTTAATTTCTCAAAAAATATTACGAATTAGGTTAAATTAAATTGGAGAGTTCAATTCCGTCGCCGTATGCTGGTTCAAACGATCTTTCATTTTTCACAAAATCTTCGACCTTAACTTTTGAATCGCCGAAAATCCAGCAAATATTATCAGTATCAAAAATAAACTTATTTTCCAAATATCAGCTAAATAAATGCATATTATATTCTCAAACAACTTTCATATCAATGCGAGAAATTGAACACTATTTGCAAAAGAGTTTCGATTTATTAAGCAACATTTGAAAATTTTTATTAATACATTCTGAAATGAAAATGGAATAGCTAGGTGAAAAATGAAAGCTAGATGTCTTAAACGAACGATGCAATTTTAAAAATTAACAAATTATTCCTCTTGATTAGTGTTTTTTCGCAATTTTTGCAAATTTCTC